TCCAGCGATGCACAGGAGCCCTCCAACAATCATCCCACCCAGCTGCAGGCTTTCCCAGTCTGGGGGAGCAGAGGGTGAGCTGGCACCAGCCTGGCTCCACTCCACTCACTCATTCAAAAGATATTTATCATCACCTGCTTGTACAAATGCACTTGCATTCCAGGCAACAAGAAAGACAAGTCAGTAAATAGATACACCGTATAATATCTGGTGGCAACAGCACTAGGGGAAAAACATAAGCAGAAGAGCACAGAAAAAGAAGGAAGGCTTTTCTGAAAGGTGGCACTTGAGCTGAAGCTAGGGGGGAGATGAGTGTGTAGGGATACTAGAGGACAGTGCCAGGCCAAGGAAGAGGAAACCCGCCTGGGGGGAGGGGGGGGGTTGTAGGGTAAAGAGCCAGGTGCTGGGGAAGGCGGCAAGTGAAAGAGTAAAGGGAGGATCAGGTGAGATACCTGGGGACCCAAGAGCCTCCAGCCCCTCCCCCACAAATCTTCCTAAATATCCTGTGGGCACCTTCCCTCCTTGCTGGAATGAAGTTCTCCCAAAGATCATGTTGCATGTTGGCCTTTCACTCTTTTCATAGACCATGCTGACTCTGCAGTCCCCAGTCCCAGCCCCATCTTGCTGCTCTTCCCTCATCAGCCCTCACTAAGCTCTAGCAAAGAGGTCCAGCCAGGATAGGCAAAGGTAGGGTAGGGGTGCGGGGTGGGGGTGAGGGATATCAGCTCTTACCATAATAGAAGGGACTGTCTTTATCTGTGGGAAAGGGGGAAAAGAAAAAAAAAAAAGAAAAAGAATAAGGACCAGAACCAGGAGGCAGCATGTGGAGTCTTAGAGGGAAAATGTGGGGCAGCAGGAGCAGGGCAGTTTGGGGCCTCACTCACCGACCAGATCATTGGCTTCCAAGGCAGGCAGGCCTGGGTGGGAAAAAGCAGAGGGATCTGTATTAATTCGTGACACTGGTCTCAAAATGAATCAGCAGGCAGGACCTCAGCCCAGAAGGGCAAAGATGAGAACCAGCCTCATGGGTAGGGGGGACCCTGGAGTCACCAGTTCCCTTCCTTCTTCACACCTTTCCCAGCCCCATACAACCCTGGGATTTTATCTCTCACCCCATAGCCATGCCCCCCCTCCCCAACTCACCCTTCCTGCTATTTCTCTTGCTTCCTGCTAGCCTTTCTTGCATATGAAATGGGATGGTGTGTTGGTATCTTTTTACCCTCTTCTGAGAAGCTTCCTACACAGACTCTGGCCAGTGCCCTGTTAGGGAATAGGGAAAGCTTCTCTCTCTCTCTTTTTAAAGTTTATTTGTTTATTTTGAGAGAGAGAGTGTGAGTGGGGGAGGGACACAGGGAGAGGGAGAATCCCAAGCGGGCTCAGCATCGTCATTGCAAAGCCCAATGCAGGGCTCAAACCTATGAACCGTGAGATCATGACCTGAGCCGAAGTCGGACACTTAACTGACTGAGCTACCAGGCGCCCCAGGAAATGCTTCTCTCTTTATGCCAACAGATGGTTACTGTTTTCCAAAGTTCAGTCATGTAGGAAAATTTTGCAATATCCACTTCCTAACTGTATTATTATTTCCTTAGTGCCGCTCTTTAAATTGATGGTTTAAACGAAAACACATTTGTTTGACATCAGCCCCCCCCCCCCCCTCTGCTTTGGGAGATGCTGCCCTTGCTTTCACTGCCTTGGTGGGAGGGTGAGTGGCAGCAGGTTCACTTCTGGGGGCAGGGGGGACTCACCTGCCAATGTGAGGAGAAGGGCCCGGGTCACTCTCTTCATGATACAGCTTCAGGGCAGGGCTGCAGGGGAGGGGGACAGGCTGGGGTCAGATAGCCCTGACCTGCCAGAGGCTCACAGTCCCTGAAAGAACCAGGGCACAAATCCCAAGGGTGCACTTGGCTTATGAGGTGGTTTGGGGAAAGTTACCAATTTCTAGTAGTAATGACTAGTGGAGTGACATATATTGAGCTACTACTAGTTAAGTATTTAGAACAGTGCTTGCACGTAGTAAGTGGTTTGTTAAAGTCTTTAATCAGATGCCTGACTCTCGGTCAGAGGAGCAGAGCTACTGTGCTAACTCAGGTTTTGGTGCCTGCCTTCCTAACCCCCACTCAAAAGGCGAAGGCACCCTGAGCTATTTTTCCCAAAGGTCTGGGCCTCAGGCACTATCAGGATGAATTCCAAGATAGTCTCTGCAAAGGGCCACCCTGGGCTGAGCAGCAGAGGAGGGAGCAGCTGAGCAGGCGAAAGGTGGTGTTGGAGGCAGGTGAGAGCCACCCACCTCAGCCCCCAGCCAGGGATCTTGTTCCAAGGCGGCCCCAAATTCCACTCTGAGGACAGACTGCTATTGACAGGAAACTGACAGATGGAAGGATTATTACTCCTTTTTTCTTTCTCCTTGGGGTGAGAACTATCCATGTTCCTATTTACTAGTTCGGAGGGTGGCTGTTTCCTTGAGATAAGACCCCTTCCAGCTTTCTGCATGTTGTTAGCTGCAGGCAAGCATAGGGATTGTCAGCCGTTGCAAACTGAAGCCCTTGTTGTGATATGCTGAGCCCAAAGGGCTGGAACTCTAATCCCCTCAAAACCACTGATCAGCTGTGTGACTCAGTGGGTTACTTAACCACTCTGCGCTTCAGTGTCCTGTAAAACGAGGAAAATTAATAGTAACTGCAAAAGGTTATGATTGAATTAAATGAGTTACTATATGTGAAGCCTAAGAATAATGCCTAGCACATAGTAAGGAATGAAATGTGTGTCACGATAAACAAATACATAGCCCTTTACTTGCTAGGTGGAATGTTGCCTGATTCATGAATCGCTTAATAAAGCCAATTTGATACATAAATACATGCATACATACATAGGTCCTTTTGTCCTGTTTGGGAGGACTATTAATGTGCAGCTTCTGGACGTGGGAGTTTGTCGGCTTTTAACAGTCTCTGCAGCTAGCCCTCCTTTGGACTCGTCCCCCCCTCACCACCCTGGGATTCCTCAATAATGAGGGTTGCAACTCCACTTTACATACTCCTTAGCCAAAGGCTGGCTTCTGTTTCCTCCAGCCCCTAACCCTAACCCACGGTCCATATGATGGTGGTCATAGAGCAAGTAGCCTCCAATCCTCAAAACCCTCAAACATGCATCCTGTTACTGATGATACCCAGGCACCTGCCACCCCTTCCTCAGAGAGGTACCTCCTCCACCCTCACCCTTCTTCCCCCACCCTTCTGCTTAGCAGCCCTGAAATCCTAGCAGACACTTGCTTACCTGCGAGCCAGGTGCAAAAGGCAGGTTTGGAGAGGCTGCTGGGGCTGTGTTGAATCCAGGTGGGTTCCGGCTCTTTAAACCCAGCAACTCCGCCCAGGGCAACAATGCCATCAGGCAGGAGGGAACTAGTCAGATTCCTTGAGATTGCTGTAGCTCCTTCTCCACCCCCCCCCCCCCCCCCCCCCCCCCCCCCCCCAATCCTCGTGCTCTGGAGACAGCTTGTCCTGCCACACCCCATGCAGAGCTGAACTCCTAGGGGCCCCAGGGCCATCAGAGGCTAAGGTGGTGGTGGGAGAGGGATGGACCGGGTCTCAGACCTTTCTCTTGAGCAGAAGGTGGACTTGCAGCTTCTTTAGCTCACCTAGATCCTAAAAGAGGGGTCCAGAGGGGGCTGGGACACAGGATGTTTCTGGGTTCTTGTGTCAGCAGTGGAGGTTCCAGGACTTCTGTGTGGGGTGTAATCAGATCAACTAGGAGTCAGGGACTGGCCTGAGGCTCCATTTGCTCAATGGTCCCATTGCTCTTCCCTGGACTGGATGTTTATTGAGTGGGAGGGCTGGGGCTGGTGGCACCCTTCAGGATCGGCCACCCTCTGACCAGGCCCTGACACCCATTTATTCCAGGGAAACTGATGGCTGGGATTAGAAACCATCCCGGCCTAGGGTGGTTTCCTGCCTACTCCATGGAGTATGGGAGGAGGGATGGTACCAGGAGGAAGACTGTCAGCTCAGGCTGAAGAATGGGCTGCTTCCCTCTGTGCACCCCCATATCTGCCTCATGTGGTGCTGGCCAAACTCCTCTTTCGCCCCTCAGCCCACCACATGCTTTTGGCCTGTGCCCTTGGCCCTATTCTGCTCTCCCTCCTCCCCAATTCCTCTGTGTTTGTTGCTTTTACCACTGGATGGTGATCAGCTGAAGGCAGGACTGTTGCCTCCCTTAATCCCCATGGCCAGTCATAGACACCAATAAATAGATTTTGATTGAATTGTTGAATCAATGAGGACAAGAAGCCACCAGAGGCTCCCAGTGCTGGGGGTCAAGGGGGAAAACAAAGCCTTGAAAGGCAGGGCGGGGAGGAAGAGGGAGGATATTCCTGGTGTGAACATTACACCTCCTCATGAAACCCTTCCATGGTGCTCCCTGTCTTCAAGATTCAGTTTCTACAGAGTTCAAGTCCAGGGGCTCTGGGGCCAGGAAGAGCTAGAGTTGATGCCCAGCCTGCCATTTGCTCAATGGGTGAGCTGAGGTAGCTCCTTCATCATCCTGAGTCTCAGTTTCCTTTCTTCTAAAGTGGAGTTAATGACAGGACTTCTCAAGGTTCGGGGTGTAGGTCCTGCCCTCAATATGTATTTGTGGAGTGAATGCCTCCTAGGTCTGGCATGAGGAAAGTTTGTTAACCTCAAGATTCAGAAGAACCACTAATTGCACATACTTTGGAGTCAAATCCAGGCTCTGTTAGTTAGTTGCTATGTGCACTGGAACAGCTAATTTCCCCTCTTCCTGCCTATTTATTCATCCATAAAGTAGGAACCATGACCGTGCCTACTCTGAATGTTTGTGGTGATGATGACATCTGATTGTGCTGCTCAGTTCACTGTAACTATAGCTGTGAATGGCCCTGATATACACACTGAGACATCTGCAGCATAAGAGGAAGGGGGTCATCAGTACAGACACCCCCGTGAAGAAACCACATTCCAGAGAAGAGAAAGGTCTTGTTCAAGGTCACACTGTGCCTTGGTAGCAGAGTGGAGCTCTCAGCCCAACCTATCAAACCCTTCGGTTGAGTTCTTCTGCCCCGTCAGGCTCCAGGGAGGAATAAGCAGAAATGAAGCAGGCATTTGTAAAAAGGGGACACTTGGAAGTCCCGAGTGCCCTTTTTGCTTTGGGAGGTCTCCAGGAAGTATGAAAAGGACCTCAGATCCACTTCAAAGGCCCTAGCACTTTTGCCCTACCCTGCACCTTCTGCCCTCTTCAGGGATCCTGCACTCCCATCTGTCACCATGAGATATTATCGTCTTTTTTTTTTTTTTTTAAAGCTTATTTATTTATTTTGAGAGAGCGAGCGAGAGAGAGCCGAGGAGGGGCAGAGAGAGGGGGAGAGAGAATCCCAAGGAGGCTCCACGCTGTTAATGTAGAGCCTAATGTGGCGCTGGAACCCATAAACCGTGAGATCATGACCTGAGCCGAAACCAGGAGCTGGACACTTAACCAAATGAGCCACCCGGGTGACTCAGAGATTTTATCTTTTTTTTTTTTTTAATTAAAAAAAAAAAATTTTTTTTTTAACGTTTATTTATTTTTGAGACAGAGAGAGACAGAGCATGAACGGGGGAGGGTCAGAGAGGGAGACACAGAATCTGAAACAGGCTCCAGGCTCTGAGCTGTCAGCACAGAGCCTGACGCGGGGCTCGAACTCACGGACCGCGAGATCATGACCTGAGCCGAAGTCGGCCGCTCAACCGACTGAGCCACCCAGGCGCCCGATTTTATCATCTTTAACAGGTAGAAAGAAAACTTCACCTGAACCAGGTGGTATTGACACTAGTCCAAGGTAAAGGAGGGGTAGGTTGAGCCTGGGGCAGAACCAGGGAGAGGGAGCCCAGCTGCCCGTGTGACTTCTGCAAGCACAATGGTAAGTCACCACCTCATCTTTTCCTTTTGCCAAAACTGATTGTAGGTGTAAGGTGCACCG